TGGCAGACAGCCCGTAAGCACGTACGGAGGATGTTGGACATGTCCAAAAGATTCTACGAATAGCCTGCGAACAGCAAGGCCGCAAGCGTAACTTGCTACCCTCGCACGGAGTTAGCAAGAGAGACGCACGTTGTGCAAGACGTACGTCGAGCAGACCGGGAATGCGTCGCACGTGCGTCACCCCCACGCCTGGTGTATAAAAGGCGTGCTCTTTACAATGAACGTCGACTGTGTAACGTGTACAACAATTTTCAAAATTTTCAAATTTTTGCTCAATCTAGTTTCTAATATGCCTCCAAAAGGCAAGGCAAAGAAGCTTCCATAGTAGAAAAAAGGGAGGAGGAGGAAGAAGAAAGAAAAGGAGAACAGGAAGCACAACTGATGTACGCCGTCAGTACGTCACCACAAATGTGTGAGGCAAGTGTGAAGCAAAACTGGTGCAAAAGGGCACAACTTTCGCCGTGCGTTGCATTCCCTTCGTAAGTGGTGAGTGTGTGCCACGTACACAGGAAGCAAGACATACTCAAGAAATGAGTACAATTTCCACGGCCATCGCTCCTTGCAATTAGCGTCCCTACTTGAAAGGACATCTCATGTGGCCCTTGCGACTCGCAAGGTGGACTTTCCCCTACCTCTACGACCCCCACGGCCTCCGCAACACCCAAAAATCGCAGGGGACGTACGATCCTGAAATTCGTGCGTCCGGTTGTGACCGAGGCTTAAGAGGGCGAAAAGTACGGTTTTGAACTTTAGTTCAGCTAGTCAAATTCTAATTTCAGGAGGGGACCATTGATGTTATTTTTTCAGAAATCGAAAGGGGGTGGGGTCAAGATCCCCCTGACAGCCCCCCCCCCCCCCCCCCAAATCCGCCACTGTACATGCCAGACGGGTTATGGCGAGTACGTTTACATTACGCTGCCGTGCCACCGGTGGTCGGTTGAAAAGAGATTGTGCGGAGTACGGCTTCCGCGCGGCTTTCTTGAAGAACATCAGAGTTTATGGAACTATGGCACATCAGAGTTTCAAATTCGTACAAGTGAACTATATTAGTTTTAAACATCTTAACTATTGTTATGCCTCCTAAAACACCAAAGGTGGAAGGGCAAGAGTATAATGCCATCTACAATAACAGGTTCAACCATTATCACGATCACCGCAAGTCCACCGAACAGTGCCCCTACGGGAACTTTGTGATGCCATCTAGGATAGTGCTACAGCCTTTTTTAAAAATGTCAAAAGTTTAAGCTTAGAGGCTTCGGGGGCCGTGAATCTGCACAATTTCGCACGATTTTGCATGGCCACCGCTTGCCTTCGCGCAGACGCCGCACAAAAAAGGCTGTACGGGCAATATACCAGCAACGCACAGACATCGCATAATCTAGGCTTTAATTCATCAGCACGCAATACCGTGTAATGTATGCCAACAGTGACATTTTCTGAGACGCAGCAAGCAGATGATATTAGGCAAATCGCCCATTTTTCTATACTTCGCGATCTCGTTTAACTTAGCATGAAATCTGAATGAGAACAAAAAAGTAATCTGTGTTAAGGTAATTAGCTGTCAGTGATGAGAATTAGCACTCTATGAGTGTTGATGAGATTACTTTAGCTACGTTGTGTTCCTTGATTGACCTGAAACATGAGACAAAAATTCAACTTTGAAAAATAAAAGAAAAGACGGGAGCGGGGCAGATTCCTCTGTTTCAGTTCACTTATAGGTTGAAAAGACTTAATTAAAGATTATATATCCTGAAATATATCATATTATATGACATAAATTCAGTACCTTATTTTATTTGCTTACTTATGTGTCAATCTTCATATCCAACATAACATGAGGAACTATGCTGATCAACATGTCGACAACAAGTAGGGTTGGCTTTGTACTAGGATGCCAAATTTGACTGTTGAAATACCTGGAAGCGTGTGTTGACCAAACCACAATAATTCCGAAAGTGTGTAGACAGAAATTCCATAGAGCGGCAGATAAAATCGCTAAAATTAGCATAGTGGTTTTATTTGAAGTGATTAGTGATGAAATATATACAGAGTTCTTTTACGAAAATCAGTTGCACCGTCCTATAGTGCTCATCCACAGCTCCCTTTGCTTTTTTTCTGATATGAGTAAGTAGAGAACATCAAGAAACCGAAAATAGGACTTTCAGCCAAATATCGCTGAAATGGCGTCACCAGCAAAATGACCAAATCTTTTTTGGAAGACAAATATTGTCCATGAACACTTTATGCTTATATTACAACAACCAGTATTATATGAAGTCGTTTAAAGCCCGAATTTGGCTAACAGAGTATAAAATTGCAATTTGCTATAATTGTATTAATATTTCATTTACGAGTGTTTTACTTCAGAGGTTAACTGGTAAATAAAACAAACATTGTAGAAAACGGTAAAATGATCAAAAATAAATTAAATAAGCTAGAAATGCACTCGGAGCCAGTTAAGACAGCACAATTGTTATTTGAACCAATTAATAAATTGATCGATGGATCATCACTAAAACATAATTGACTCTAAGTTTGTCTGTTCCGACCTATCCCGAGAGTTAAATTGAAATCCATCATCCGTTACTTTTTGAGTTAGACTGTTACCAAACTAACCTTAATAAGCAAAAACCAAACTGTTTTTGACAGAGTTAAGGAAACAAGCAAATAGATAAATAGTGTCCCTTGTTTAAATAGACACTACTGTCTTAACAGACTCCCTTCAAAACCCCTGAAACGTAAAAAGATCCCCATCTTGTGGCATGAGTCATTTTACCGGTAACCACGTAGACTCGACTAGTTTGCATGTTTTAGAGAGCTTAAAAATAGAAGCCACTGCTTATATATACGATTAATTTACTTCAACGCGAGCAGAAAGTACAAAGGATTTATGCAAACCCTAGAATACACCAAATATATGTATGTATGCAATCAGCCTAACAAGACCAAATTCATAATTATACTCAAGATGCACATAATACATGTTAATAAAATGGTAACACAATGTCAGCATTAGGAAAATGAACAGTATACAACATATATCAAACGGCACACGTCACGCGTGTACCTGCCTCTCCAAAGATTCTACTGAGCTAAAATCTAACTCATAGAAGCCCTTGTTTTAATAGATCTGCTGGAGGCGTTCCCCGGGAATTCTTCATTCAAATGTAGACCGAGCTGCTAATGGGTAAAATACGGTAAATAAATACATTGAAAATTGTCTTTGCTATTCTAAAAACCATATCTAACATGATTTATAGTACTCATCTAGATAATCGTTTATTCAAATTAAATATATGAAGCCCCTTTAAAAATGTTCATAGGATTTAAAAGACACCGCCATATGCCACAGAACAGACATACAATTAACATCAGAACGTGCTCACGTGTCTAATAGAGTGTGCGTCTACCGCGTATTGCAATTATCTTCCTAGAAGAACCGCTAGTCTGTGCAGCTAAGTGGGATCTTCCTGAAGTTTTTCCAGGGGTTATACGTTTAGTTTAATCTTTTATTTAAATTTAGAATAAAGAGCCCCTTTAATAATGTTCATAGGATTTAAAAGACACCGCCATATGCCACCAAACAGACACACAATTAACATCAGAACGTGCTCACGTGTCTAATAGAGTGTGCGTCTACCGCGTATTGCAATAATCTTTCTACAAGAACCACAAGTCTGTGCAGCTAAGTGGGATCTTCCTGATGTTTTTCTTGAGATTGGCCCGTATTATTTAATGAATGGGGTTATTTGATCCGTGCACCACACGCCATAATTTATCCATGGACATAATAAGAGATTATTATTAGGTCCATGATTTATCCAACCGACGCTCCGTGAAGCTAGTATTAGGATTTAAAGATGGGTTTTCCGTCCTCTTAAAGAAACAAGTAACTAAAATAAAACAAAATAAAATGAGCAGCAGTAACATTGTCCTCGTTAAAAACTTGTGATGAAAAAAAAAAAAAACAAAAAAAAACGTAAATCTGTCATAAGAGTGATAAAGTCGGTAGGCCGCGTGAAGATGGGTGGGGGATTCTTCTCCCGATTCTTCCACTCAAAACACAGTTTTTAAGTTACAACTGCCAAAAAACGAGACAAAACCATGCAATTTTCCCGTCCCTGTGCCTACACTTTTCAGTCTGACTGTACTCATCTATTCTTCATATGAACCTGGCTTTGCTTATGTATATATGTATTTATTTATTTATAAGAATAGGGTATTTAGTGGTAGGGGCACATTCACTTATTAAAGAAGTCGAGCAATTATCTTATTACATTATTTGATTTAAGAATTTCTTAAGAAAGGTTTTTTTTTAGTGGCAATTTATTCTTACATCACTTTTCAAAGATAAAATTTTCATTTGCATATTCGTACACTCATTTTGCTTTGTGCATAAACATTATGTGCCTCTTGTTACAAATAATAATAAAATGAATCATTATTTTAATGAAAAACTTCGATCATCATTATTATCCCTTCTATTATATTACTACTACTACTACATTATTACATCGGCTCTCTTCCGTGTCATTTTATTTTTCATTTTTAAGAAGATATTTATTCCGTTATTGCGACGGAAAACATCCTCCTAAAATGAGTTTGTGGTGGCAGCTGCGCCAGTTCTCCTGGTAACGGTGTCACTGTAAAATGCAACCACAATGTTTTGGTTGAGACGGGTACAGGTTGATATTGTAGTAGGTGAGATGAGAGACGTCACCGCCAAGACAACACTTGAAGGGAAAGCGTTGTTGTAATAATGTTGCTGCAAGGAATTAAAATTTTTTGAACTGAAAGTACAAGCACAACGCAGCAACAAAGTCGATATAAAGTTAAACGAAAGCTCTCTCTCTCTCTGTGTGTGTGTGTGTGTGTGTGTGAGAGAGAGAGAGAGAGAGAGAGAGAGAGAGAGAGAGAGAGAGAGTGAGAAAGAGAGAGTGAGAGAATCCGACTGTTCCTTTCAAGAAAAACCAAAGACATGATAATTATCATATTATTTACTTTGAAATGAACAGAGAGATGTATGAAATTTATGAAATATTGTAGACTTGATCTGAAGTTCCCTTTCTCTTAAAAAGTAACTTCTTTGCTTCCTTAATACTAGCATTAACTCAATATTTAGTAAGTTTCTCAGGTGAAATGCAAAACAAAAACAATGATGATTTAATGAGTCACAAATACACAGCTTTTGCAGTGTTTTCAACAGATACAAAAATAACATTCTTGTAACAATAGACAAATGCACAGTAAATACAAATATTTCTACAATGCAAAAAACACACATGGAATGGTGATTGTCTCAAATTACATCTGCAAATAAAACTGACAATAAAATGTATATTTAAACAAGCAGCAGTGTCTCTAAGAATTATTCTTTTGTCCCCAAATATTGAACAATAAGTCAACTTGTGATTGAAAAAAGCTCTTACTTATCTTAAAATCCTTAAAAGACCCCCAGATGACAAAATTTACATTTATAACGCAAAATTATTGAAAAAAGTACTGAAAAAAGCAATCTGGTGAAGATTTTCATTTTTTGGCAATATTTTGGGAAAGCCAACATTTCCAGCTTAACACAGAGTACTTTCTTCAAATCAACATTTCATATTAACTATCTCTACATTCATATGACTGTATCAGTCAACTAACTAAATGTCATCTCTATACTTCTTCTAATCAAAATAAAAATATACCCAAGTAAACTGCCCTTTAAAATAGGACAGAGAAAAAGAACATGCTGCATAACTCGGACACTTTCGACTTGGAAAATTTGTCAAATTGTGCCAAGATTCAACTCAGGCATTGTTCACAAAGTTTCAGCTCACAACAAAGGAGAAATCTGCTCCACAAAATCAATTCAAGGTAAGCAATAACTTGTGTTATAAGGTGGCAAGCTATGTTCAGTCTACTGTACTTTTCATTAGAATGGCATCAATAAAGTTGTCTGACTAGATTGACACTTAAAAGGTGCACCTCTATTACAAATGAGCATTTTAAACATGAGTACTTAAAATATGGCTACAGACTTAAAGAAGCTAGAAACCCATACTGGCAATGCACAATACGATTCAACTTGTATAAATAATAAATAACACTTGTAGACCATAAAACCCAAAAAGTTCATTTCTTTGCAGAAATTGATGAGCGTTTTTCCCCACTCTTTGCAGAGGGAGGTCTCTGTTTAGTTGATGTGTGCTCGACTGCTTTCAGTACTGGTAAAGTAGGAGGTTGCTTCCCTCTTACAAAATGTCTCAAGTCTTCATTTTCATCCTTTACAAAATTCAGTTCCCTCTTTAATTCGACAAAATTCTTAAAGGACCGGTCAGCACCAATATGCTTTTTAAGTTTTTCAATTTCTTTAAGCAGTCTCTCTATTTCTCTCTCTAGTTCTTGTCTGATTGTCTCCGACTTCTCTACCCTGATTTGGAGCTCCGCAATTTGAGCACGTAAACGTGCTATGAGGTCTTCATAATCTTTCTCCTTCTGAGCAAATTCTTTCTTTTCATTGTTCAACTTTGTCAGCTTCTTTCGGAGGGCTTCAATGAGTTCGTCCTTACTCTTGTCATTTTTGAGATCAGTAAGTTCTTTTTCCAGCTGCGCCACCTGGAACCTGAGCTCTCGGCTCTCCTGTCGAGCTGCTACTAGTTCCTCGCTCAGCTCCGCCTTGGCCTTGGACATTTTCTGGATCTCTGCCACCTGAGAGGCATTGCCCTCCTTCAGCTGCTTGTTCTCAGCCTTCAGATGTTGAACCTCATCTTGAAGGGACTCTATCCTCAGTGTGAGCATCTAGAAGACAGTTTTTACATTATGTACTTTGTGAAATTTCTGTGGAATGTGACTTTTAGAATTAATTTTTTTAATAGTCATAGAGTTATCAAAAATATGTCCTATAATATTTGGAGTAATACATAATTTAGTGGACAGACAACCATATCTAATGATATGATGGGTACATAAAATATTCCAAAAATCTTACTCGTTAAAGCCGTTTATGGGAATAAAATAATTCATACCATTCCCTACGTTGAGAACAAAAGAACCATTCATGGGTTATTTTGCACACACATGGGTAAAAGTTGCAAAAATTGAAAATCCTGAAATTGTATCTAGCAATTTCTCATTGCATTTAGACCATATAAAAAGGCAATCACAACAAAGACTGAAAATAACGATGTCAGGCACAATCCTGAAAACTTTTAGCCATATTTTGCACGCCACTCATGAATGCACCACCTCTGGTTCTTTTGTTCTCCGCATCTTTTATGGTAGAAGTCTGATACACTAAGGCTTCGTTCACATGCAATGTCTATTTTCTAAATTCTATTTTCTATTCGCGGTATGTCTTATGATCACAGTCTGTGTCCTGAATATCCCGCAGCGTAATTACTGGCAGCGCGAGCCAGTTACTATAAGTTACTATAAGTAACTGGCTCGCGCTGCCAGTAATTACGCCGCAGGATATTCAGGACACAGACCGTGATCATAAGATAGCGCGAATAGAAAATAGAATTTAGAAAATAGACATTACATGTGAACGAAGCCTAATGGTCAGCAAGGTGCAAGTGCTTTATACTAGTCCATAACACTTGTGTATACTCCATACATTTGGCTATTACTCAGGGTGTATCTATTATGTAGCACACACGTGTCATTTTTTTTGCCACCAGGGTGCACCACCTACCTCCACCTTGCCCTCATTGCGCCTGTAGATGTCAAGTTGACCCAAGAGTTTCTCGTTACTTTGTTTTAGCTTTTCTACTTCTTCTTTCAGCTGGAAAAAATGTGATGCAATAAAATTACACATCTGTAACTCTCATATATTATTAATTTTGTGTTGGTACCATCACTGCAGTGTGTATTCAAATAAAAAATGATTTTTATTCAAGGGGGAAAATAGCTGAAAAGTACATCTTTCAGCAATTCTTCTGTAAGTATCTATTTACTGTTTAAAGAACCCTGATATTTAATTGAACAGGGATTCTCTTATTACATCTTAAGTTTGTCACAAGTCATGAATCAGTCTAACCCCAGACTGGATGACCTTACACAACCAAGCTCACTGCGGCCTTCTTCACATTGTGGGTATCTTTATCAGTATTGCTGTGTTTTGAGGTACTGACAACAAAATATTAGTAGCCAAGCTATAACCTAAGAGAGTCATCTAAATGGAGCCCTGCCCTCTATACAACCAGTTATGCGAATGAATTTTCATACATCCAAGCAACTGAGTGCCAACTTGCAAAAGGAAACAAAAGCCCCTGTAGTGTAATTACTGGTACATATTAAAACCAGTCAAATATTGTGATACAGATAAGTATAACGTATGATGTGAAAAGGGACCTAGTGATCAAAACTACATCCAAGTAGTGCTGTCTTGGGGTGCATTCCAAGCAAGTTCATTCGCTGACTAACAGATCCACAGATCAAACATGGTCAACCGACTGGAAAGCTTGCCATGTTATCCCCTAAGGGACACCGAATAGAGTACCTGCTGGTATTATGCAGTAAGCTTTCATGTGGGTCAGCCATATCTGATATCAACAGATCTGTTAGTCCACGGATCAACTTTTGTTGTTATTGCGGCCTTGGCTACTAACCTTGGCCTTTTCATTCTTCCAGCGTTCTTCGGCTTCCAGTTTCTCTGTTATTTGTCTCATTAACTAAAAAATACAGAGAGGAAAATATATGTTATAACATCCACAAAGCACTTAGGTTATATTAATGACTTAATGCGAAAATCCTCCACTCAAAACATTCATCGGTCATTCATTTTTAATGCACACAGAGCAAAACTATTTACCATACATATGGGGTCATGGTATGCCTTGTTTTAATTATTATTTTGGTTATATGTTTTATAATTGTCATGTTTAATGTAATTTTTTTGCTAACAGGAGAGGCAACAGTGTGCAAACAACCTCCGAATAAATGAAAGAAAAATCCAAGAAATATAAAAAGATGACAAGCTTGAAGAGTAAAGGGGGAAAGCTACATACAAGGCAAAAGAAAACACTTTAAACAAAATGGCACAAGCAAGGGTATAATAAGAACTGAAATATCAGACTACTGTCCTGCTGCAAATATGATGCATCACATATCTTGATCTATTATCAAAAAGACGGTAAGAGTTCAAATTTTCCCTCAAAGAACTTTTATTAGAAACTGCTGTTTCTTGTGATTTTTAAAAAGAAAAAAAGTTAATTGTGGATGTTTTGAAACTAGGGCCCAGAAAGGGTGGGGGTGGGGGGGTGGGGTGGAGAGAGAGATGAGAAAAAAACAAATGTCCTATTTAAACACCTGGCAGTTATGAATACACATAAACAGACAGAGAGGTTTGGTTTGCAATTTGCCTAAGACCCTAAATCACATCAGACTGCAGTTGAAATCCTCATGGCACCTTACCAGTAACCTGTCTGTTTTCCACAACTGTTCTGCCATCTCCTTCTCTACAATCTGAGCTTTGATCTACAAACAAAATCAATACACTCCTTCCAATCCCTTGCTAACAAAAACACTTAAGTAGTCTGAGAGCAAGCATCTCCAGAAATGTTTCAACTAATGGAAAGCCGGCCTAAAAACAACTTATCATAATTTAATGTTAAATCATTACTATATAAAATAAAAGTACAGGTCTACAAATATAACACTCAGCGATGCAAATCAAGCTTAATTCTTAAATCTCCTCAGAAACAAAGAATAGAAATGGCACAGTAGCAAGTCAATTTTGAATTCTCAGATACATCATGAAAAAAGAAACCAAAAGATGTGGTTCTGCCTCACCCCCAGTAGCTACATACTGGTACATTGGTACCCCCTTCCCTTCCTAATACTAGTAAGCAGCAACCCCTCCCCATCTCTAAGGACATCCCCTACTCACCCCTTCCTCAAAGACACCTCCCTCATCGCCCACCCACCCATTCTCAAAGACAAACCCTTCCAATATCTTCCCTTATCTCACTGTTAATCTTCGTTTCATTACAAATCTACCTTCTCTAACTTGGCCTCCATTGCCTTTTTTGTAGAGACAAGCTCTCGAACAAACTTCAAGTCTACGAGACGTTCCTTTCTCTGCTCCTCATGGTCACATGGCACACCCCCGCAATGCCAACACTGCATGCTGCGCACCCAGCGAGGGTGATTCTCATCCACATCTAACCAGTCAATGAGGTGAAGCTGGTAAACCCCATCTCTGCTGCGCATTCTGTTAATATTGTGCGACAGGCAAGGATGGATCCCAAAGTCCACAGACTCTGACTTGTGTAGCATGTTGGTCATGGGTGTATAAATATATACCTCAGCAACAGGTGTTTATATACTGGACAGCTAGTCCTACTTCAACACCTAATCACAGGTGTATTTCATACATTTCAAAGTGCCTTACACTAAAGTGATATGGCCAGACTTTTTAATTTCATTGCATTTCTGTTAGAATTCATCACAAAACCTATTCCAACTCAAACACAAATACTTTGGCCCTTAGTAGTGTCAATGTCACAATTCAGGAGAAATATATCTGCCAGAGTTTTATATTCTCAGATCCCAGCTTGCTCTGCTCTTCTGTTCATGTAGATGTAACGGCTTTTGTTTCATGAACGTTTTTTTTTAAATAGTTTTTTTACAGTTTCTATAACAAAAGACCTCCCTAAAATTAACAGTGCATCTCTTAGTACTGCAGATATCCTAATTATTTAGCAGCTTTTCTGCAATCAAATTCTCTATTCACAAATCCACTGCACAAACCAGTCCTGCTGATATGGTTGGTAGGCAGTAGGAAGCAGGCTCCAATATTGCTTTATGGCTAGTAAGGATAAACTTGAAGCTGTTCCAAACATGCAAGTAAGCCTGCTGGCTGTAGAGCTGTGTGATACACTGAATATATGTGTGCCCACCACTTTGCCACCACTGCCTAAACTCACAAATGCTTCTCCCTACACCACTTGTCTGGGTCTTGTGGAAATACCTTGGCCAGTCACTCACAAAGCCAGGTGTATCATGGTCTTGTAACCACTTCAAAAGTGTCCTGTTGCTATGCTCAGCAATACAGGTGCTACTTCAAAGAGACACACCACACAGCCTCCATTACACTGTGAAATGAGCTGTTAATCCAATTAAATCATCTGGCCCCATATTAATCATTGCTGCAGTCTACATCATGCCTACTGATGTGGGCATTTTAAGTCATGGTTGCTATAAACTCCAGCAAGCCTTGATTTCAGCACATTGATTTAGTGTGACCTTTGATCAGTGTTTTAGCATGTTCAGACATCCCATACTTCCCCATCGGATGTAACAAGCTACTGTGCTATCACATTTCCCACGAGCCTGGCTCAGCTGCCTGGTATCCAGGATTAAAATACAACAACAGTGTTTAAGTTAGGCACTTAATATCAATACTGTTATTCCACCAGTTTTTGTCCTCAAAAAGGCAATTCAGATTGCTGTTTGTTTAGCTCTATGATTACAGAGGCCTGCCGATATAAAGGGTGTCATATAATAGGAATGCAATTCATATTTCTCTTACAAACACAGCCTGATATTGGATTTTGTTTACAAAGAAAATCAATGAAAGGCTCACACTTTGTTTAATTTATGATAAAATCTTTTGCAGGTACAATTACCACCAGGTGGCACCAGTTGACCATTTAAGACCAAGTAACCTCCGATTTCTTATGAATAGAATTCAAGGCTTAGGTTTCAATTTAAATGTACAATAACAAAGTGTACTTAACCTCATCAAAAAAGGAGTGAAGCTCAATAAATGTTTACATAGAAAATACTAGTTTTTTCTTGATAGTCTTCAGGTAAATTAAACATGTTAAGCTGGCAAATATAACCTAAAAAGGCATAATTAGAATATAATTATCATTCCCATCATATTTATATGATCATTTCTTATCCTTTTTAAATACAGTTTTCTAGTACAACCTTAACTGATCATTTAAGAATGTGTTTTACTGTAACAAAGGTTGAAATACTCAGTATTTAGTTTGTATTTTTTAAAAACATTTTCCTGCACTTACGTGAAATTTTTCATCTTAAAAGATACTAAGCGCAAAGAATCCCACTTGAGTGTGCAAAATGATTGCACAATAAATTATACAAGTATGCATTTTGCAATAATTTTGTTTGATAAACTAAGGCAAATGTGCTGAATATATATAGGTACAAGTTAGTGTCACTTATGCTGAGGCTTTTAGCAAATATACAGCTTTGTGACCTGAAAACATCAACTTTTCTCATTTGATCAACATCACAATATTTCTGAAGCCTTTGTTAGATTTTTAAATTATTCAGAATTTTGGTGCTCTCTCCTGTATCATTTCATCTTCATTCTAACACAAATTCAACCATCCACACACAAGCAAACAGTTCACATTACAAAATCAAATCGGAGTATTGGTCATATAAATCTTGGGTTTTATAACAGGCATTAAAAGTAAGTTCTATAATACTACTAAATAATTCCATAGATTCAAAGTATTTTAATTAGAAAAAAATACACACAAGCAAAACACTGGGTGTGAAGCGTGTTTCATTTGAATGCAGTGCAACTGGTCACAAGAGTTTTTGTGTGTGTACATTATGTATGCATGAGTAGTTTATTTGGCATTTTCCTAATTAATACATATAGATCTACATATTTTGATTATCCATTCCCTTTATTTACAGAAGTACATTAAATATTTTGTTAATAATAAGACAAAGAGCAAATCTATCAACTTTGAGATGTATTATATAACAACCATTATTCATACCTCAGCCTCATGTTTCTGGATAAGCATAGCATTGATCTCGTCTGCTCTCTTCATATACTGCTCCTGTATCTCCTTGATCTTCTGTTTGGATGCCTCCACTGCATCATGGAGCTCCTCACAGTGCAGCTTCTGGCCCTAGAATATGATATATTATTACATATATTTGAATATAGAATCAAACAACAGTATATGTTAAGGTTTTGTCTATAATAATAATAGGCCATGTTGTCCTTATCAATATGGACAATATACATGTATATTATTTACATATTGTAACGATTTTACATAGCCTTAAAATTCATGGTAAAGTTGCTGCAGTAAGCTGTAGCCTTTTGTTTACATTCTTGTGTGTGTTGAACTTTGAACCTTAAGTTGGAATGGCTTGTAAGTGGTATCAGTTTACTAAAGAGGGGATTGTGGTGTCCAGTAGAGGGGTTGGCGGTCAACCATTCAAGGCCGTCCACTTTTCCTCTGGCTGCCAGTCAGAGTAGCAGTGAACCATTCAAGGTCGTCCACTTTTGAAACCTATAAATACAGCTGCTCTACGCAGTGTTGGTCAGTTACTGTAGAGTATAGTGGCAGTACTCAGTGAGAGTATAGTGTCAGACTTAGTTTCACAACTTAGTTTGAGTCAGTTTCACAATATAGTTCCAGTTAGTTTATTGTAGCTGAGTTGCAGTTGTTTAAATTAGAAGTACAGCAGTACAGCAAGAATAGAGACAGTGTTTAGTAAAAGATACAGAAACATGTACATTTGTGTTGAGAGTTATTCGTAGAAATAAAGTTTACAAAACAGAGACCTTGTTTTGTTGGTGGCAGCGAAGTAAGAGAACCGTACACTGGTGGCAGAAAAACGAAGACCTTTACAATATATTGACCTGTTGCATGTGATGTCAGCAATAGTATATATGAGTTGCACACCATAACTTCTATTCCGAAGTCTGTGCAGAAGTGAGTACTGGTCACATCCGTATTAAACTTCTGCTCTGAACTATTAGTAGCTACTTCAATGTTTATCTTTACTGAAGTCATTATAACCTATTTATTTAGCCACTCTGTCCTTCTGAACTGGAGATAACATATATTTCATCATTTTCATGATTCATTGAATTGTAAATACTGGGTGTTAAAGTCTAACTTTTAGTTAGAGAAACATTGCTCGCTGCATAATTAACATTTATAACTGAAAATTATTTGTTTGTTGTCAGTGTTGGAGAAAAAGGTAAAAAGAATATAGAAAACACCTTTGATCTTAGTGGAGAAGTGAAAATTCAATGGTCCTGTCATATCCAAATATGTCTAACACAATAAATTGCTGCAGTGTGAGTGCACTCCAAAACTTTCTTTTATTTTCATTACCTCTAGCTCTTCTAGTCGTGCCTTCAACTCCTTGTTTTCTTTTACAATCTCTTGCAGGAAACCCAAAGTTTCGATGTGCTTGGCTGCTAACCGTTCATTCTGCTCGTGCAGTTTCTCTCTTGGAATCCTGTCGGATTTATAACAGTTCTGCATATTGGAAGACCTTTACATAAATGAACAGGAAGATCTGGTACCTAAAGTAAGCCCAATAAAGTCGATGTTTATCCGTTCATGCTATTTTAAACAGCTTCATTGACAACTGATTCGCATCACGACTAACCGGAAGATAAATATCTGACGAGGAAATATAGTTCCAATATCTTCACACCTTTTCTTCTGTATTTTACTAAACAGAGTACCGCATTTACCAATGTTACTATCCAAGGTGATATCTTAATTTGCGATCGCTTAAATTGAGGGATTGTGGCACTTCAAGCAAAGGTAAATATTCCTACATATATTCCGGTCACACATGCGCATAATAGAAAGGAGCCATATTGAATTTGGCTGCACGAAGTTGTTGTGTCATTGTGCCGGTTGTTGTGTTTTGATCAGCTTTTACAGCCAAAATGCCAGAGACGGAGGTAGCACCACCACCAACGACAGTCGCCGCTTCTGTGCCACCTATACAAAATGTTAAAATAGGAAAAGTTGTTGTACATCCACTTGTTCTTTTGAGTGTCGTTGATCACTTCAACAGAATGGGGAAAGTGGGGAACGTGAAACGTGTGGTTGGTGTTCTCCTCGGCAGCAAACGGGGAGACTGCTTGGACATATCTAACAGTTTTGCAGGTAAGTCTAGATATCAAATATGTCACGCAGGAAATCGAATATAAATTGTCAGCTTCCATTCTGTATTTTTTATTGCTTAAAACTTTGCCAGATTGTTTTTCAAATTCACCTTTGACTTTTTGTCATATTGCCCCCCCCCCCCCCCACACACACACAATTACACTGTGACATGCACACAGACCATATCGTTGCCATTAATTATATCTCACAACCATGTAAGTACTGAGGGTAGGGCTTTTGACCCCATTCCTTTACTGACTTTCAAAAAAAAAAAAAAATGCATGCTGTAAGTGTATTTGAGATCTAGAAATAATTTAAATCCATTCTTCCATCGTTATGTCAAGACCACCCCTGACATTTTATTGTTGGCAATGCAAACATTAAGATTCCAATATAAGTAATATTTCATAAATTTAATTTATTTCTAGTGCCATTTGATGAAGATGACAGAGATAAAAATGTGTGGTTTTTGGATCATGATTACTTGGAACAAATGTCTACAATGTTTAAAAAAGTTAATGGTAAGTAACAACAAGTCAAATTATTCAGATTCAGTACTTACCAACTGGCTATTGCTAGTGTGTGTTTGCATGGTTTTGCTGTGGCAAACATTCTAAATTTTGCAACAATTGTCTTTTTTCTTAATTATAACCAATTTTCCTGTGCCAGCTTGGCCAGAATTGAAAATATTTCGTTCTGCTACCAAGAACTTGCTTTCTTTCCAAATTGTAACTATAACTGGTATAGAAACTTATGAATTAAAGTCAGTTACTCCTTTTGTCTGGTGGATGGGCAAAGATATGTGGACTTTCAAATGCTGACTTGGAAGCAATTTGTTTTTAACTTCCACATTTACACACCTTTTTATGCTTTAGTCTTGTTTAATGACTGGTGTCTCCTTTTTCAGCCAAAGAAAAGATAGTTGGCTGGTATCACACAGGACCTAAACTTCACCAGAATGACGTCATTATAAATGAACTCATCAGGAGATACTGCCCAAATAGTGTAAGTGAAATGGCACTTGTGTTATTTCTTTGTATTTTGTCCACTGTTGATTTTACTGGTTTTGTGGTTGTTACTAACTTTAGGTTCCAAGTTTTGTTTTCATTTCTGTTATGTTTATGTCAAAAAGGATGACATTACCCTGTTTGAAATATATCTTCTCTTTTTTTTTTTTTGATTGATTTATTAATTTATCCATTTGTATTGTTTTATTATTACTACTAAAATTTTATTATAAATCATTTCTAAGCAGAAAACTGAAGGTCTATGACCAATCTTGTTGACTTGTTTAAAACTGAACTTGCCCATAACTTTTCTGTTACAGGTGCTAGTAATTATAGATGCCAAACCTAAAGATTTAGGTCTGCCAACTGAGGCGTATATTGCTGTAGAAGAGGTGCATGATGTAGGTATCACAAAACCATAGCAAGGCTTGCACTTCAAAGCTAGACTTTGAATCTGTTCCTGAAAATTGGTACAGCAAGTGCAAATATAATGTGATTGTATCTACTTAACCTTTGGTTATGGTACTCAGTGTATTCTATATAATTTGTGAGTGTACTGGACATAATTATTAGGCCATGGCTATTCAATTCTGTTATTGACTTCCAGGATGGTACTCCCACCACTAAAACATTTGAACATGTACCCAGTGAGATAGGAGCTGAGGAAGCAGAGGAGGTCGGTGTGGAGCATTTACTAAGGTACGTGTCCATTTAAAGTAATGTCACTCTTTGAAAGTGAAGTTATTCATTATTCTGCTCACTTTTATTGAATTAATAGTCAAATGAATATCAGTGTGAGAAAACATTTTGCTTATCTGTTTCATCTAGCTGCTGTCTTTGAAAATAAGTAGCTTTTTTGAAATATCGTCTACCAAATGTGTTTTTGCTTATGCTTAAAGATGCAACAACATCCTCCTGATAAATGAGATGTAGTTCTTGACATTGTACCATTCACTCTAAGTTTAGATGTTGACATTTTATAATTTGTTACAACAAGTAATGCGAGCGTTACATTTATTTGCTGCAGGGATATTAAGGACACCACAGTGGGCAGTCTGTCCCAGCGGATCACCAACCAGCTGATGGGTCTGAAGGGACTGCTGTCACAGCTCCAGGACATACAGAACTACATCGAGAAGGTGAACCAGGGCCAACTGCCCATCAACCACCAGATAGTGTACATGCTGCAGGACATCTTCAATCTCCTCCCAGATGTCACGCTACAGGACTTTGTGAAGTCCATGTACGTTAAGACTAATGACCAGATGCTGGTGCTCTACCTCTCCTCTATGATACGCTCCATTATAGCTTTACATAATTTGATAAATAACAAGCTGCAGAACAGGGACGCGGAGAAGAACGAGGGCAAGGACAGCAAGGATGAGAAGAAGGATAAGGAAAAGAAAGAGGGGGAGGGGAAGGATGCAGATAAAAAGGACAAAAGTAAGAAGGAGGAGAAGAAAACGGATTCAAAAGTAACAGAGAAAGGGGCCAAAAAATAAAGACGGGACTCGTTTGATCTGTAATTACAAATCTCATAATTCCTCGGTTAGAACATTTTCAGCCAATCACATTGTAATAGGTACTGGTGTTGTTAAATATTTAAATATTGTGAATTTCACTGTTAGAAAAGGCTTACAAAATTCAGCCCAGTTTGTCTGTTGGTCAGTCTGTTTGAGGTAAAAGACCTTTTTTCATGAAGTGCAAACCATGCTAAGCCACCTTTATTATGTATTTAGATGTCATGTTCTTAAGCAGGAAGACTGTCACAAGGCTAAGAGATGTATAAAATGTGAATATTATCCAACATAATTAAATTCTTTTTCAAATCTTGGTGTTATGCAATTTACTGCTAAATTTCTGCCCTTTTTGCTTGATTTTTCTTGCTTTTACAAATGGAGACCAAATCTTGTGAACATGGTAATGGCAACTTCGGAAATGATGAATTGTCATTCCTTTTTAATGAACCCAATAACTAAAATATGGCAAACAAACAAATTTAATTAAAGTTAAAATATGAAAATTTATTGCATAACTTCTGATTAATGAATGGCAAAGCAGGAAATGAATGACATAATCAGATTTCAAAGCTAAGAATGATTTTTTTACAAAGCAAGTTGTGAATGATTCTTTGCGGAACAAATTAAAATTTAATTTTACAAAAATATAATTTGCACAAAAAAGACTCAAATGTAAATGCCCACAATCTGTGCACTTGCCTGTAGCAGCCAGCCCTTCACCTGGACTGATGTAACAGTATCACAGTATGTCCCTTTAAGAGCTTCAATTCAGAAGCACTAATGCTAGCACAATATACAAGAAATGTCTCTTAATTACCACCGCGACTTGTAAATTTACTGTTTTTTCTCTTTTTTTTTTTATCGACATTTAAAGAACTTTGTACGGTACAAAAAAGTCTGAATGAAATTCTAGGTGGTTCAGTAGTTTTGTGTCAAAACTTCTGTGCACATTAAATGAACCATCTAATGAGATGCTTTGTGCAATTTTACCAAATCTTTCCGATGTATATTTGGACTTAATTATCACCAAAATAACCCCTTCTTCAACTTTATATAAAAATCTATAAAATTGGTTTTCATCATAATATCATTATAAGCTGTTTTATAACATCTACAACATTAGGAATCACCAAAGACTGCCCAAAGTCTCATAATATGCTAAATTTTTAGGAGTGTAGGGATCAGAAATAACTGCAGACTAGTAAGTGCGTTACAGCAATGAATAAAAGCTGACAGAATTCATCCAAGAATATTCTACTTATTACAGACTATTGCACAACAATATGATTTTACCAGATTTTGCATATCACTTTTTAAGTGCACTTGAAGACGTCATTCCTGGCCCAAAGCTTACCTAAAGATTACCTTTAAAGCTTTTACTGCTTTAAAGGTAATCCCCACATCACACAGCTCCCTTAGATGATTTCCATACAGCACCATTTTCATTTATATAGCAATGTTTCTAATTTTCACCTTGTAACTCAACTTTTATCAGTTCATGTTTAAATAAACTGCATAACAACTTTCCACTTTTAGTGAAACTGAAATCATGTAGCAGTTCCTTCAGATAATGCTTGTGACTCTTGATTATGATTTTTTTCTTCTCCCTAAATCCAGAAGTGATCCAGAATTTTATATCATCAGTCCATAAAAATCTTCCCAGGATTCATGATCCCCTTGGGATCGAGGGCTGCCTTCAATTCCTTCATCACTTGAACCCCAACTGCCCCTATCTCCTTCTCTAAAAAGTGGCGTTTGCCCAAGCCAATCCCATGTTCACCTGTGCAGGTGCCATGCATCTCCAGCGCACGCCTGAAATGAACATGGAAACAAATAATCCAACAAAAATATCAATAGTTGTGTTATGTACTTATTGCTTATCATGTGAGACGCTGATATACTGGAGTGTCAATAACTGAATTCAGCAGCTTGAAGAAACTATTATAAGTGCGACTTTCGGAAGAAATTCATCATCAGGACAGGCTGATTTCTTGCAGGACTGGTAACTTTCATGAGTAATTAGCCCTGACTGACTTTCAGTCAGGTTTTGATTAATGACTTTCAGGGAAGTTTCCAATCCTGTGAAATGAAGCTTGAAAAACTTTAAGAAGTTCTGCAATGCAAAAGGCACATGAAACCATATTTCAAACACAACTTTCTAGGCTGAATTACCTAAGTCTTTTTTGTTTACAACAAAACCGTTTTATTATATTCTGGAGAAACTGTGACTTAGAAGCTCAGTCTTGCACTGAACACATAAAAACATAATGATCATAAACCAGATTTCACCAAATTTGATACTTCTGCCTGTTTTTTTGGTCTCATACATGTACGTGACAAAGTTGATGACACCTACCATGCTATGTTTTAGATGAACTGTAACTTACATAGCCATCCTGTCTGTGAGACCTTTGACCTCTTCCACCTCTTTGGGGTTATCTGGGTCAAACACCAGCACAGTGTGAAAGTTACCATCTCCAACATGGCCAACTATGGGACCTTGAAAAAGTGTGTTAACAAAATGTAAAGATCTCCAACATGGTCAATCACAGGACCTAAAATTAAGATAATTCATCATGTTGTCGGTCTTTGTTATCAATGTATACTTTGTCAGACACGGTCAATTAAAGGATCTAAAAAAGAAAATCTTACCATGCTGCTATCTCCAATATAACATACTATTGCTCAAAAAAAAAAAAAAAAAAAAAAAAAAAAAATTGCTTACTTTCTTTCACAACTTAAGATAATTGCGATTATTTATAATTTAAATACATTCAATGTAAATATTTCCTTCATAACATGCTTGATTTCAACACATGAGGCCAAACAAAGGACAAAAATGGTCAACATTAAAAAGCATGTGCATGGACAAAAACTATACTTAAAACATTTAGGAGCTTTTTGGTATAAATTCAGCAAAATTAAAATTTAACTGGCTAGGATGTAAACTCAACATCATGTTACTGTACACAGGTTAACAGTTTGAGAGCTTCAAAAGTCAAGCAAATGGAACAAAAATTAAAAACTGTCATATCTTTCGATACAACATCACAGAGCATGCAAAGCATTTTCTTCCTTTCTAATAGTATCTATTCAAGCAAGCATGCTGGTTTAGAGAGAAGGCCAAATACACCTACATAACAAAATGCTAAAGCCAAAATGCTGTTTTAAAGAAAAAAAGCAGTGGCTGTTACCAAGAACCATAATCAAAACACAGCAAAATTTTGAATGCTAGAAAAAAACAAACAATTTTGGCCTGTTCTCTTACCAACAACTGAGGAGCTTTGTATGTCTTCCTTGGTGATTGTAATTAATTCTGGTAACCTTGATATTGGAACACAGACATCCGTGATGCTAGCCTTAAACAGAAGCACCAAGAAAACCACATAATCACATTTCCAATTACTGCAATTCAACCCTCAAGCATTAGGGGCAACAGAGGGAGAAAGCGGATTCATTTTTTAAAGCTATTTTAGCATTTGTCAAATTGCAAATAACTTAGATTGATAGCATGTCATCTGAAAGCTGTATCTTCTCCCTGGGTTTGTACAACTACTGGTGTCATTACCAGGAATAAAGGACCTGTCCAAGTCCTCCTTGGTTTCCGTGAGGACCTGCGGCAGCAGAGAGATGGGGACACAGACATCTGTCATTTTACCCTGGAGACACAGGAAGTAGGAAGATTGAAATGTTGCTGGGACCAATTTTACAATAAGACTTTAGCCTGAAATTTTTTTGTCTGTTTCAGTTCAAGATAAATTTATAGTAGTCCTTTTCATAGTTGCAATGTTGTGTTAAAGTAAACTAAACTTTAAAATTGAAAGGTTTGACCAATTTTCAGGCTAAAATTTTTGTTTAACGGGCCCCTGCCTGAGTGACTGAAGTCGGACTGTCTAGAACCTTATAATCACTGGCCAAAAGCAAAATGTCAGAAAAATTAGTCATTCTAATAATATTTTCTCATTTTTTTTGTAGTTTATGGTCACTGTTTCTGCTTGGGGACAGTAAATTCTTAGACCTTGGGTGTCCCAAAGCTTAAGAAGTTTTTGTTTGTCACCATAATGTTCTACTGTACCCAAGTGGTAATATATATATATATATATATATATATATATATATATATATATATATATTTTCCTACAGTATACTTTGAAATGGGTTATCTCAACATAACACATAATGCATAATATATAAGAAAAAGACTTTCACTTTTTTCTTTATTTGTACTCTTGTTTGATGGTTTGTAAGATACATCTAGGAAATGATGAATTTCAATTGGTGAGGAAACCAACCTCAGCTCATTTCAAATAAAGAAGTTTATTTACTTTTCACAGAGATCTATATAATGGAACAATACTCAAATATTTTACCTTACATCCTGGCCTCAGTGCAATGCAGGCATAGTAAGCATCATGTCTGGCCTTCCACAGTTTATTTCTCACCTCTGGCTCTTTGGCCCACTGAAACCCTGAACCTTCATTATACTCTGCTATCTCAGCTGAAATGAAAGTTCATTTTGTTTCAGATATCCATGTCATATCATATATCATCATTGCCTCACATCTGCAATGTAGTACCATCCCCTTTCACTCATCAACATATAGTCTACCCATTTTTTTGAAAATGTTACTCATTTATCTACTTATTTTTTATTGACAACAAATTCTATTTGATTTCAGCTATTATTCTCTAGAATTATAAATAGCCATCTCACCTCACTGGTATAATGGTTTAACCCTAACATAACCCTTCATACAGTACATCCATCTCATCATACGCCTTTCCCAATTTTATAAATAATGGATTTCCCATTATCCAGGTGTTATAAACCAGCTCATTTTCATTGGTATACTAGTCTGCCACATCAAATCTAACCATACACCTAATGCCAGTAAAACTGAACCTGAGACAGTTAAATTTACTAAATTTGATCAGTTACAAGCCACCATTTCTGCTTTGAACGGTAGATTACAAGTCCCTGATGTCTTATAGGGGCAGGAGGTTAAAACCCGTTTTCAGCACAGGCTGGTGTAATATTTTCACCCAATATCTCACCCACAGCCTTTGCCTGTTCCTCCACCCCAGACTCTGAGCCATGGAACTCCAGGAACAGGGTGGGGGACTCCTGGTAGTCAAGGTGACTGAACTTGTTACATGCCATCATCTGAACCTCGTCTAGAAACTCTGGAAGTTAAGCCACAAATGTTATTATAATTATGATAAAACCTTGCAATACACTGTAATTGTTTATTGGTTAAACTGGTTACATGTACCATTGAAGGTATATATATGAAAATAAACTGAGGTTCAGAATGTATGTGTCCCAACATGTTTATGCAGTTCACTGAGATTACGATTGGAGCAAACAGGGGCATTTTCTAAACAATTTTAAAGATACACACGGGGCCAAACAAAGAACAAAAATGGTCAACTTAGACCCTGCCTCCTTTTTTTTAATAAGTTTCATCTTTAACTATTTATATAAATAGCACTCAATTTTAGCATACAAATGTCACATGTACATTTCTTAACATTATCATGGTATACTGACAGCGATTACTGGTAAATGTGTCTTTCATGACCTATGTAGTCTGCCAGCTTACCAATTCTAGCCATGGGTATTCCACACTGCAGTGTCTGAACTGTTGTATCAACTGCTGCCTTTACTGAGGGAAAGTGACAAACTGCTGATATAGTCTGGAAGGAGTACATATGATTCATATTATATTTCATGATCAGTATAAAATTATGGCAGTAGATATTCAGATGTGTTCTAAAAGTGATTTAAGCTTAAATCTTGTTCCATTTGTAAAAAAAGTTACTACAATATATGTTTCGTTTGGATCTATTCTTTTTCGCTCTTATTACAACTTGTGCAACTGAAATCTTGCAAACATGCCATATTCAGGTTATTTAATGAAAGTTAATCACTAAACTTGCTCTATCTAGATATAAAAAAAAACATCCCTTTTGGCTTTCAATGCACAATCCAGTCCAACTTTTTAAACAATATTAAAACATTTTCTCAAGATCTGCTGGCATACAAGTACTCACACTCTCTGGTTGTCCATAAAGTTTTATTGTGGCCTTGGTGATGATGCCAAGAGTTCCCTCAGAGCCAACAAATAGGTTGGTCATATTGTATCCAGCTGCAGTTTTTCTAAATATAAAAAATCATTAGAAAATAAATAAATTGTTTGAATATATAATTAATAACTATAATAAACAAATAAATAAAAATCATAGAAAATTCTGAACTACACTTTACCAGTTAGTAAAATGTTAAAAGCATTTAAGTGCTATCTCCAAACATGAAAATGTTCCACTAAAGTTACAGGTTTACATAACTTTGAAATACATTTTAAGACACTGCCAAAGAATGTCTCACAGTATTCACACACACACACACACACACACACACACANTGGCCCACTGAAACCCTGAACCTTCATTATACTCTGCTATCTCAGCTGAAATGAAAGTTCATTTTGTTTCAGATATCCATGTCATATCATATATCATCATTGCCTCACATCTGCAATGTAGTACCATCCCCTTTCACTCATCAACATATAGTCTACCCATTTTTTTGAAAATGTTACTCATTTATCTACTTATTTTTTATTGACAACAAATTCTATTTGATTTCAGCTATTATTCTCTAGAATTATAAATAGCCATCTCACCTCACTGGTATAATGGTTTAACCCTAACATAACCCTTCATACAGTACATCCATCTCATCATACGCCTTTCCCAATTTTATAAATAATGGATTTCCCATTATCCAGGTGTTATAAACCAGCTCATTTTCATTGGTATACTAGTCTGCCACATCAAATCTAACCATACACCTAATGCCAGTAAAACTGAACCTGAGACAGTTAAATTTACTAAATTTGATCAGTTACAAGCCACCATTTCTGCTTTGAACGGTAGATTACAAGTCCCTGATGTCTTATAGGGGCAGGAGGTTAAAACCCGTTTTCAGCACAGGCTGGTGTAATATTTTCACCCAATATCTCACCCACAGCCTTTGCCTGTTCCTCCACCCCAGACTCTGAGCCATGGAACTCCAGGAACAGGGTGGGGGACTCCTGGTAGTCAAGGTGACTGAACTTGTTACATGCCATCATCTGAACCTCGTCTAGAAACTCTGGAAGTTAAGCCACAAATGTTATTATAATTATGATAAAACCTTGCAATACACTGTAATTGTTTATTGGTTAAACTGGTTACATGTACCATTGAAGGTATATATATGAAAATAAACTGAGGTTCAGAATGTATGTGTCCCAACATGTTTATGCAGTTCACTGAGATTACGATTGGAGCAAACAGGGGCATTTTCTAAACAATTTTAAAGATACACACGGGGCCAAACAAAGAACAAAAATGGTCAACTTAGACCCTGCCTCCTTTTTTTTAATAAGTTTCATCTTTAACTATTTATATAAATAGCACTCAATTTTAGCATACAAATGTCACATGTACATTTCTTAACATTATCATGGTATACTGACAGCGATTACTGGTAAATGTGTCTTTCATGACCTATGTAGTCTGCCAGCTTACCAATTCTAGCCATGGGTATTCCACACTGCAGTGTCTGAACTGTTGTATCAACTGCTGCCTTTACTGAGGGAAAGTGACAAACTGCTGATATAGTCTGGAAGGAGTACATATGATTCATATTATATTTCATGATCAGTATAAAATTATGGCAGTAGATATTCAGATGTGTTCTAAAAGTGATTTAAGCTTAAATCTTGTTCCATTTGTAAAAAAAGTTACTACAATATATGTTTCGTTTGGATCTATTCTTTTTCGCTCTTATTACAACTTGTGCAACTGAAATCTTGCAAACATGCCATATTCAGGTTATTTAATGAAAGTTAATCACTAAACTTGCTCTATCTAGATATAAAAAAAAACATCCCTTTTGGCTTTCAATGCACAATCCAGTCCAACTTTTTAAACAATATTAAAACATTTTCTCAAGATCTGCTGGCATACAAGTACTCACACTCTCTGGTTGTCCATAAAGTTTTATTGTGGCCTTGGTGATGATGCCAAGAGTTCCCTCAGAGCCAACAAATAGGTTGGTCATATTGTATCCAGCTGCAGTTTTTCTAAATATAAAAAATAATTAGAAAAAAAATAAATTGTTTGAATATATAATTAATAACTATAATAAACAAATAAATAAAAATCATAGAAAATTCTGAACTACACTTTACCAGTTAGTAAAATGTTAAAAGCATTTAAGTGCTATCTCCAAACATGAAAATGTTCCACTAAAGTTACAGGTTTACATAACTTTGATATACATTTTAAGACAGCAAAAGAATGTCTCACAGTATTCACACACACACACACACACACACACACACACACACACACACACACTTTACTTCGTTCTCCTCCCCTCCCCTGCTGTGTGGATAACTCTTCCATCACTGAGGACCACCTCCAAGTTCATGACGTTCTCACGCATGGTACCGTAGCGGACAGCGTTGGTGCCAGATGCACTTGTGGAACACATGCCGCAGAGAGAGGCGTCAGCCCCAGGGTCTGAAACACAAGTGTGGGTTAATAACATGATTCTGATTGTACAGTCCAGCCTTGCCCTGTTAAAATATTTACTCAAGAAACAGATATTCACTTGTTAATAAAAGAATTAATTTACGACAAAAATGGAACAGATACACTGCAAGCAGGGCTGAGTTTAGAGTATTGCACTGGTACTGAATAATACTGGTTATATGTTTGTTTGGCACACTGACAACCTGGTCTCAGTCTTGCTTACAAACCATAGTGTCAGTGGTTCTCACATCCTATCTACCAGTACACCCTCCCCTTGATCATGGCCTTACCCACGGGAAACCATAGGCCTGTGTCATGGAGATAGTGGTTAAGAGCCATCCGTGTCACTCCTGCCTGGACAACTACATCAAAGTCCTCAACATGTACTTCCTCTATCTGGTCCATCCTCATCAAGTCAAATGTTACCCCACCCTGCAACGAACATGGCCTTGAATTTATTGTATCACAGATCTGGTCTCAGTAAAATATGAAACAAAGTTACATACTGAACGTTCTAACCATAATCTATTGGTACATAAAATTAGATGGTTTTGATACTGACATAGATGGTTAAAGAAAGTATCAATAAATAAGTGATGAATATAGTCCCAACTTGATACCAAAAACTGTACATGTAGTAAATAGTATAACGATATTACAAGACATTCAACAGTGGGGAGAGAAGAGGGAAAATAAGCACTAAACTGTTATGTCAAGAACATCTCATCCTAAATCTGTTCTACCTTTGACCTTTGTCACCCCTTCCTCTACATCTGACCTAGCTGCCTCCACATCTATTCTGAACTTGAACCATGAGACCCCCCCCCCCAATCCCAACTTCTGAAACACCTCCCTCAAAATCTTTAGTAACCTTGATACCTATGACCCATATCTGACCTGACCTTGACCCTTAAATAGTATGGCCCTCTTTTCCAGGACCAGTTCTAACCTTGACTCCTGTGACGCCTCCCTCCAGACCTGTTCCAGAGCCAAAGGGAATGATGGGAAGCCCCTCAGCGTAGCATATCTTGGCACATTCAGACACTTCCTCCGTGCTCCCTGGGGAGACGACTAAATCAGGTGGAAAAATGCTAAAAAAAACAAAAAAACTTTCAACTTCCTTGTTTCAACTTCCTTAACCTATATATCTTGCACTCAGACTTCACATTAAGTTTGGCACATTTACTAAGATGTAAATTCAATGTTGTTTACCTTGTTAAATAGGATTTAGAGTAATCGTGTGTTAACATCAATATACAGCATCATAGTTAACTATAAAAGCACTCATTATTTGAATTATATTTTCTAATTGGAATAAAAATGAATGATGATGTAAACTATAGTAAGTTTTACCCATGATAAGATTCATCCTTCCCATGATGCTCTCTCACAGCTTTAGCAGTGGACACATTCTTCTCTCCAACAACAGATGCAAAAGCCTTCAAAACATCATCTTGGATCTCCTTTCTATTAACCTGCAGTTCAAGAAAGAATTGTGAATTATTAAGACAACAGATGACTTACAGAAATTTGAAAAGAGACATGCATATCAGTCAAATGCAACTTACATGTGCATTATTCAATTATTCTAACATAGGCCCTTTTCACATAATGCCATAAACTTTTCTGTACTACTTCACCATTTTGAATTAATATCCTAGCTGGACATTACTGTGAGTCATCTTAGCCTCCTGGTATTGAGATGGACAGTTAACAGAATTAATTTTAATTGCTCGGAATAGTCGAATGTGAAATGGAGTACCCCCCCCCCCCCCCCCCGCACACACAATCTGTAAAGATTGAAAGCAGTCCCTTTCACTTTTATGGTGAGTCCCCACCCCCAAAAAAAAAAAAAAAAAAAAAAATTAATAATAATAAATAATGATAATAATGTTGTGTTATTGCATAATAACCTTGTTATAACATAACGTGATTGCTTTTTAAAAATATTTTTAGTATCATTATTTTTGTATGTGTACAAAATTAATAAATCGTGATTGACTTTTTTCACATTTTTCACATATCCCGGGTGAGATAATGAAGAATTTAGTTGCAATATTATTATTGAAATCCATCGACCGATCAAAGGGCACAGACACTAAATGACAATAAAAGACTGCATCTGCAAGTGCAAATATCGCGACGCACAGTCGAACAAAGTTTCCAGGCCCTACCTGTGTCTGCAGCAGTCTAATGGAGTTTGCACTCTCGTACATGCGTTTGTGAGACAATCGGTACAGAGTCCTTAAGCTACGAAACATTTTGACACGTAAGCCGCCAGGGAACCATGAAAACTCTTGAGAAAAATGACCAGAGTCGGTTTACACCTGGTCTCCCTCCAGCACCGTGCACCACTGATAAACATGAACTTCGCATCTAGGTCAAGGTCAGTAGTGGTAACATCAACAAGGCATTTCTGGATTATAAGAATTATTTTACAGTGGAAATAAATTCATAAAAATGTGAAAATTAACAATATGTAGATTAATACATGTAATTACAAAAATTGTTGTATAGTTTCACAACTTCCCAACTTGCAGTGCGCGTGACGTCACACTGCCTCTTTCCGGCAAGAAACAGCATGGTGGGTTGTGAGAGAAAATGTGCCCCCGAAATTAGCAAAATATCTCTGTATAATAAGTTAATTCCTTATCAATAAATGTGTTTTCTTGTAAACAATATGCTATAGATAACAAATGGCTCAACATAACCCCTAAGTATTTCTTATTATTTAAACAAAAACGGTATTTCATGGCCCTAAATCGCTGTGTGAAAATTGGATGCAAAGGTAAAACGAAGACGGACATTCGTGGCACAGTTAGCTTCAGTTTTTTGGTAAAGCGGTGACAGTAATAAAATATGCAGTGACTCACTTTGTGAAATATGCCTCCGATAATGTGGTCAAATATTATGCTGTAAATCCATGCGCTTTGCAAGTTCCATAATTACTGTTCATAATTAGAATTTCTGCAGTATGCCTCCAAACTTGAGCATGCTTGTCTTTGATTTTTTTTATGAAATTCGTATAGGTGGTGACTTTGGTCAATGTCTCTTCCATTTATTCACTGAATTTTTGGTGTTCACGCCTGGAATGACATCGGGTTTCAATGTATTTGAATTCCTTTCAGTTTTCTTGATATGATATTGAGTCATATTTACATCATTGCTGCCAGACTAATTGATTTTAGTTAGCGAGTCCGTAATCAACTTCACCACATCACTAGGTTTAAATAAATATTGACAATCCACAACTTGTCATTTTTAAAAAAATATTTATTTATTTATTGAGTATTTATTTATTTGTTGTTGTTGATGGGTGGGGGTTCTCCATGCTTAAGAGCCTTTGACACAAGCACTCATATCTGGATAAGTAATCCCTCATTAGCAACTATTAAGGTAACAAGAAAATTGATTTTCAAATAATAAATGTAACAACCAATTGCAATTTTTGTCAAAGAAAATGTATGTGTACAAAAGTGATTATCTAGCCATATTTATTCATTGCAGGGTTTTTCCCGATATGTTGAGATAGGCCGTGTGGCCTTTGTTGCCTTTGGTCCAGACCAGGGAAAACTGGTCGCCATTTCAGATGTTATAGATCAGAATAGGGTAAGTGTGGTCAATGTGGCCCATAATGTTACTAAGTGTACCACATATTCTGATCTCTTGAATGGAGCACTGGTATCAAGGTTTGATGCTGTATTGATAATCGTTGTTGAAAGGATTTGGTGTCAGAATAAATCTTGAGATAATCTTAGACTCTTTAATTGTTCTTTCGGCTATGCATTCCAACCTCCATGGTATAAGTTCACACTGATGATGAGCCTTAGGTTGATAGGAATTGCCGTCAGATACGAAGCTGACGATAACCTCCTAACCTGAAAGTGTGTTTACTAGTTTATCTTAATTTCATTGTGGGCTTACAGTAGAAGTAACTTCAGTTAAGTTTCTTTTTCTTTTAAGTTCATCTTGTTCATAATGGGACTTGAAGGAAATTTTTATATTGGAAGACCAATGGCCTTATGTTACAGTTTATGAAATTGTTTATTTAGTGACACTTGGTTTTAATTCCAGGCTCTAGTTGACGGCCCATGCACTGGTGTAGCCAGAAAATGTATGAACCTGAAACAGCTCCACCTCACCAAGTACGTGCTCAAGTACGGCCACGGAGCCAGGACAGGCACTATCCGCAAGGCCTGGGAGAAGGCGAAGATCAGTGAACAGTGGGCCGAGTCCACCTGGGCCAAGAAACTGGCCCGCAGGGAACAGGTGGGTACTCAGTTCAGTAGTGATAGATTGCTATTTGTACATGAGATTCGACTGCCAAACCTAAAGTGTGCTGAGTAAATAGGTCAGTTTTCAGTTTTTTTCCTGTGTTAAGAAGTACACCTGAAATAAACTGCAGGATGACAAAGCCATATAAGTTATTACCTACTTCCGTGTGCTTTTGTTGTGAGTTTGCTGTGTGTAAAAGAAATAGAAGGCCAGGATTTCCTACCTACCCCATTGTACTTTTGGCCTGGTAGTCGAACCTCTTCGATGTACGTTCACACTGATGATGAGCCTTAGGTTGATAGGAATTGCCGTCAGATACGAAGCTGACGATAACCCCCTAAGCTGAAAGTGTTTTGAACAGTTTAATTTTCTTTAATTTTCGTTTGGAACCTGTCTAGAATGAACTTTAAGCCAAGTCTGAAATATGAAATGAATTAACGAGGAGTTGGAAATAAAGCAATAGAATACTTTGAATTTGAGTCCAGACTTAATGCCACATTTGAAACAAACATTTTTTAAATTTAATTATTCAGCTCTTTTTTGCATTTTTACAGAGGGCTCAGCTGACCGACTTTGACAGGTTTAAGCTTATGAAGGCAAAGCAAGCGGTGAGTAATAAGAATGATCAACCTCAAGAAAAAACATTTAGCACATAATTGCGTTAAATCAACAAAATGCACTTTGCGAAGCCATTAGAATGTAGGTTTGACTACCAGACAGACGAGTGAACTTGAGTAAAGGTCTTGTAGATGATGAACCTTGTTGATAGGAATTGCCGTCAGATACGAAGCTGAAGATGACTTAAAAATCTGAACAGACCTTCATAGAGTGTGCAAGTACATATCTTTAGGCGCTTCTCGGATTAGTGTAAAAATGAATCTTTTTTTGCATCGTTTGCTAACCTGGAATCGCTTTCCCTTTGCAGAGAAACCGCCTCATCGCCATTGAGTACGGAAAACTGAAGAAGGCTGCCAAGGGAACGAAACCCAAACCAAAGCGCGCCAAGCCCAACAAAAAAGTACACAAGAAGCAGTAGAGACTTGATGGAATGAATATTTTTTAATGAACAGAACATTTCGGGGAACATGTCAATAAATAAAGAAATATTGACTTCAAAGAACTACCATCTCCTTGTTGATTCTTTATGATGGTGCAATTGCTTATCATTTGTACTTACCCCCGGATTTAATTGAAGTCGTTGTCCGTTAGGCCCTGTTCAGGTATATGCAACTCAGCCGCCAGTTGTGCATAACAGACATTTTTGTTATGGCAGCTCACTTAATTCGGTCAAATTTCTTGCATGCTTCACTCACTGCGATGTTTTTTGCCTAAAGTTGTGAAGGATACCGAAAGAAATATTTACTTTAGATATTTTAACTTCGTATTTGAACCATAATCTGAGATATTCGAAATTTCTTTATTATAGTTCATATAGTCGAGCGCAGATTCTCTATAATGCATATTAACCACTGAAACTAGTTTCTTACACGACTCGAATAAAGTCGATGTGCCCAGAGATAAACCGAATTAATCACTCGTCCAGCCGTAAAGAGCTTTAAAGTTGCAACTTTAAATACCTGGGCGTAGTATTGGACTTCATTATCCATTCCTACAGTCCACCAAACTGACGTAGCAATGTATGTCGCATTACTGCTGCGCCCGCTAAATTTATAATACATATTATAATAAATGTAACACATATTTACTAAAAAGCCAATCATTTTCTGTCAAAGTCGGGATATATAAGGTAAATTATAAGCATGGACGTCCGCAGAAAATTTTCCAGGGGGTGGGGGTGGGGATCAAAGTCATTGAAGGGGGAAATAATAATTGGCTGGGTACCCGCAATAAAAATGCAGTTCCAAAATTCCGGGGGGGGGGATTATAAGTACTGGTCAGGTAATGGCTATCCGTGTTCCCAGAAGATGACTTGATAGACACTGACAGCTGCATGCGTTGGGTAGTGCTGTTGGAAGGATTTTTTGCATTATTTTAAGAAGGAAATAGGTGATTTTTGGTTCCTGATTTAATTTTTTTTTGACTAGTTATTGCATTATAACTGAAATACTTTATTAAAAACATTCAAACGTTTGGAACACGGCCTGCTCAAGGGTAAATTCTCTGTTCATTTTACTGTACATTACTAATTTGTTTTGATTTTTCTTTTTTTGGGGGGAATAATTCTGGCTTTTTCGATATTTTATTCATTATTGGGCATGGGAAGCATGGCATAAGAGTCAAAAACAAATATTATGTTCTATGTTCTTTTAGATCTACTAGAGGTACCACAGACACTTTCTATAATGAAAACTTGCACACATTCGATACTGGTATCTCGTCAATCAAATATTTGGTACTTGATATCAATCCCTATATCATACTAAGTAATTCGTACACCTTATGGGGTTCATCACGACACACAAACCACCCGATGAAATAACTGCCCTCGACGCGCCTGCGCGGTAATCCTCTACTACACGACGAGATTCCAACACATACATGTACATGTACAAGGGTCTCCTAGAGGCCTAAAGTACACGTCAGATACGATACGTACAGATTGATTTAGATTAACGGTAAAGAAGCCCAAGATGATACACCCGGCATTGTCTTGTATGTATATCTGTATGCTGTTTAATCCAGGTGAGCACTTTTTTAATATTGGCAATCGTACTTCGTTAATGTCATATAATCCATGCTTACTAGACATTTCCAGGACGAAGCTTTTATTACACCTACTTTTGTTTGATTGCGGTGCTTGGTTCTTGTTTATTTTCTGAACTCAGGTGAAACAAAAGTATTCGCTATACTGTTAGTTTCGTAAAATATGTTGCGGGGAGCAAAAATGAAGCAAAAACTGGTGATTTTCACGATTTTACATGAACAGGATTGCTGATATACCTACTACATGTAAACTGATTCTGGCCAGGAAATGGTGCATGGATAACACATAAAACAGGGAGACAAAGCATTAAATATGACCTATTTACCAGCGGCTGTCAACCTGTGAATGTTTTGAATATTAAGCGGGCAATCAAAAGAGTCTGGTAAAGAGTTTGGTAAACCCTTTATCAAATCTGATTTTTTTTCTGTTTTGTTTTTCGAAAATCAATTGTGTATCTATAGCCCCAAGACTCGCGAACGCAACGATCTTTTACATAACATGTACTTGCCCAGCGCATCACTTGTCGCAAATTAAAAAAAGAGCCATTTCTCTATATTTATCTTTCTTCAGATCTTTCTATATCGAAACAGCACCGGTTGGTACAGAAATGCTTGCAGGACGTAGTGGGACCATCACCCAGGGTTCTTTTAGAGTCATTTACAAACTGGGCAGAGCTAATAAGTTACGATCGCGTATTCGTGATGAAACCAAAATCGGTCGAGGAGGTAAGAAAGGAAATTGTTCGGGGAAGAAAAGAGGTGTATTTATGTTATTGTCAGTTATTGAAGGTCTTGCTAGGACTGCACATGTAACAACTCACTTGGGCCTCTGTAACGTCTTTCATTTGAAGGAGACTTTTCTTATCGTGACCTTCATCTGTAGATTGGTGTGTAATATACTACATGTATATTTATTTATGGGCTTAATGTATATACTACATGTAGCTCGTTGGTTGAACTAATTTTAATTTCTTAAAAGAAATAAAAGTCAAAATTCATCCATAAAATTAAAGGCCCATAGGCCCGTCCCATTTTGAAAAAATAAAAAATTAGATGTGTTTTGTGTTATCAAAAATAAATAAATTGCATTTGCCATTTGTTTTTTTACAAAAAAATGAAAAATGTGAAAATGATTGTCCTTGTTTATGTTCATTATATTCAGATACAGAGAGCGGTATACGCTGCGCACGCATGCGGAAGACAAGTGCGTGCTGTGGGCAGCTTGCATACAAGTTCTCCTCTCTTCGGCGACACTTAAATCTGTCCAATCTGGCTTTAGATGGAGGAAAAAGGGTGATTCTTCAGCCTTTGGTATGTCACCAAGAAAGGCATACAATGCGCATTAGATCCTCGTGAAGACAACATAGACCACATTCTCAACAGCGGACTAATAGGTTCGTGGATCAAATATGGGGATCCAATTAAAAGCTTGCCGCATAGTCCCCTAATAGACACTGAATAGATTCCCCACGGGGATAATGTGACGAGCATCCAAGTGAGCCATATTTGATCCGCGAATCTGTTAGTCCCCTGTACTTGCCTGGAAATTTCATAATTTTCCGTAATCACCACGGAATGCTCCTTTGGAGCAATTCTGTCGATTTGGTACCTATCTCTTTTATCAGCTCCAATAAGTATCTTAATGAAAATAAACAATTTTAAAGAATAAAGATGCAGAAATTGAAGTATCTTCAGAAGGTAAATGTCGTTCCACTGACGTTGTCCATTACTGGATTGAAAGGCAACATTTCAGAACCCTAATCGGCCAGTTGCCTTGGTTAAAGTGGCACCTAGCGTCACCCAGGTGGAGCTAAACAGAGAGTTGGAGGTGCTGGGATATGCCTTTCCCTTCGGTCCCCTCGTTTCAGACGTGACCATTGCTGGAGCCATAGCGACCTCATCACACGTGAGACTCATTGTTTAAATTTTTTATCAAACAACAAGAGGCTTTTGACTTTTTAATGCAGTAAAATGTTTTTAAAGAGCTTTTGCCCTTGAGCTGTTGTTTAGTTTGACCTATTTATTCTTAATTTAATTGTTTTTAAATGTATTAACTGAATTATCATTTTGTTTTCACATTTTAAACTGAAATGATTTTATATTTCTCTTTTGAAGGCTATAACAGAAACATATTTCTGTATTACTGAAATATATATATATATATATATATATATATATATATATATATATATATATATATATATATATATATATATATATATATATACCATGTACATGTAGGCCTACTGGTATATCAGCTCAATAAATTATAATTGTTGGTTTCGAAGTATAGTCGATGTAACAGACGGATCTAGGGTTTTCATAAGGAATCTGTCGATTTGGCGATTAGCTTAACACAAAGCACAAATGTTTCACCCTTTTATTTAGTTTTGAAACAAATAGGATCTTTGTGAACACTTGTAAAGTAATTTCTATAGATATTTAATATATATTGAACTGTAATAAATCAAAAAGTTATGTTGTATTGTTTAGTTTTTTTATTACAAGGATCCGAATTATCTGCGTAAAGTCCCCAAATGCCCTTTCTTTCAGTCTGCAAACTTCAATGAACCGTCGATGGGTGGCTTCATGACGGCAGTGAGATTGATTGACGGTAGGGGGAGCGTCAGGCAGTTTTCTGAGAACAGGACCCCCGTTGTTATGAAAGCATTGCGTTGTAATTTAGGGCTGCTGGGAATTGTGTTTGAAATTGAAATGAAGGTATTTATCCAATAATATGTCAAATGCAACCACTTTGCAATTTGATCAATAATAATAATAATAGTAATGTAATGGTTACAAATCTCACTACACATACGTGACAAACCAATAAGGGCATTAAGAGGCACAAGGAACATTGTCTTACAAGTACATAACAAATTCACATGTAATAAACATAATCCTAAAAACAGACGATCGTAATTGTTGGAGCAGTGATGTACATGTAGACGATGCACTAGACCTTGTCACTCAGTCATATTTCAGCAAAATAAGTTGGAAGCAGTCAGAAATTTCAACTCAAATTGCATTTTGTAGGTGGTTCCACTAGAAACAGTCAGCGTTCGGCGCGTTTTCACTCCACTACGGAACTTGTTCAAGTCGCACTTTCTCCGACATCTCGTGACGAAGAACTACATTGTAAATGTCATGTATGGGGCATATAATTCATTGACAGAAGAAGAGGCCAGATGGGCTTTGGAGACAGGAAGAGTACCAAGGACATGGGACAGTGCAAACGATTTGGTTTTGTTACAGTAATGCTCCTTGTGCACTTGAACAGATATGTCCATTTAAGATAAATATCATGCTGATTAAATTCAATATCTCGAAGTTGGCTGATGAGATTGTTGCTGTTAATCAAATTTAAAACTGCACTTTGCCATAGTTATCAATATTACGTTTACCACAAGAAAATCGCTTAAAACTTCTACATTTACTAACTCCTACATTTTGCAAAATTTCCCTCCAGAATAATAAATCCGAGTTCAAAGTCTGTGAACCTCGCAATTGAGGACAAAAGGCCCGAGTCAGCTCCGAATGTTACGGTTGTTTCACTGGGACAGGTATTTATGTTCTTAAAGAAGATAAATTTTGGCAAAATAATTGATTACGTTTGACCTGCTTTTTGAAAAACATTCAAGGAATTTAACACTTAAATGAACCAATAAATTCACTTAAAAGAAACGGATTCTTATAGCTTTACAAACATTCCGTAATTCGGTTCATTGTATCCTTTGAATTCTTTTCAGACTAGATTCAACCAACTACTTTCTGCGCCTGCCTTCGTTATTTCAAACCTTAGTCAAGCCACCCACGTGCCTGCCGCCGTTCTGGATAAAACTGAGTTCTCGGAATACACCATTCAGCATTCAACTTTTACTGAAGATGCCAAAGTTTTGAAGGTATACTCCGACACACCGAAAAATTTTGATAGCATATATGAATTAAACTATATATATATATATATATATATATATATATATATATATATATATATATATATATATCTGCACGTCCACATTACTGGGTAACAACAATGGGACATGGGCATCAAAATTTCAACGTGGCGCCGATCTTGTGAGCACGCTCTCCGCTTAGAATATTCATCGTATTTTGCTTTATATTCATATATTTTGGAAAATTTAACATTAAACACATACAAGAATTACCAGGGAAGAGCACACTTAACTTCACAGAGCTGGGAAAGCACGCTGCGATCCTAATTTTGCGGTAAAACAGTGATGACATAAAATCGTCACTTGGGTGCACGCTTTTTGTTTTTTCTCTAGTGTGTGTGTGCCGTGAATGATCCCTGAGATGACAAACAACATGACAATACTTTTCTGAAAGCTTTCTAATCTATAATGTACAGCTGAAAAACAGACTGGTATGTCTGTGTCCCAGATATAAGCTCTGTTTTAGAGTCATTTTCGGCTAAGAATTAAAAGTTTAAAATACACAGCAATGTTTGGAAACACAAATTTGTTTTGTTATAAAAAGACAAATCCATCCCCTTTTACACAAAAGCACCCCCATTTTAATCCAACACATAAGAATATTTTGAAAGACTCTCAAAGATGATAACCCATTGTTGTTACCCAATATAATGGACGTGCGGATATGGATATCATACATGTATTTCCTTATTTCATGCATGATATTTAGTTTCTTCTAGAAAAGCTATATGTTTTTAAAAAAAAATGATAAAAAAGAGCTTCATTGCAGTGACGGAGCGACAAATATAAGGATCCCACTTTTACAGGAACGAGCTGGTGGTATCCCATTAATAAAATCACTGCCAAGAGAGCGGTCAAACACAGATGATGTCGCTCAAGAATATGATATTAAGAAGCAGACATAAAAAACAAACGTTTAGAGAACTGCACCCTTTCAAAACCTTACTGAGAACATATTTTAAAGTCCTTAAAATGATGATTACAAAGTCTGAGTATGTTAGAATAATATTTTTAACGTGGCATAGCTGCTAAATGATGTTTTTTGTTTTTGTCCCTTTTTTGTCGGTGTCATCTTATTGATTTATTGGTAGTGTTTTCGTTTTAATATTAGATATTTTAATGTGTGAGGCGCATTGAGATTTTTTGAAATGTACCATAAAATCATTCATTAACTTAATGGGCCATAAATGTTCCTTCTTTACAGGTCTTGTCATCATTATTAAACGAGAAGTCTTATAAAAAAGGCATTCAGCCATTGCAACTCGGCCTGTTCAGATGGTTCGCTGGTGCGAATTGTTTTCTCTGTGCAGGCTCGGCGACAGTAGGGCGGAATCGACACGATAAGACCAAGGATCTCGGCCACTTCGCCTCTTTTCATCTGCACGACCTGGTTGATTCAAGACAGGACATCAAACGCGCAAGGGCTTTCCAAACTGCGGTATGGGCTTAGAAATTGAATTTACTCCGCTCTTACTATTTTTGAATTATATTCAATTCAATTCAATTTATTTCTGTACTGGTACATAAATAATCATGATCTTGTACAATGTAATAAAATAAAACAATACAATTGGTGCATTACCATTCTCTAGTTGGTAATTGGATTGCCAGTTTGTGAGTGGGCAAGCATATATCTATATATTTATATCATGAACAGATGTACTAGCTTAGTGGCTAATAAAATAAAATATTTAAGCTAGGCAGTGATCTTAAACTTAGTGTGAATATAGATTTACCATAGACATAAACTGTGAAGCATATAGCTATACGTTACACAATATGAATTTACAAGGAAGGGAGAACAACACATATATAAACTAAGTAAATAACAAGGTTAAACTGATATAAGTATTGTGGCCCTTGACCATGTGCCATGTTCAGCCCCACTGCCGAGTCACTTCTCACAACAGTGGGACCATACACTGACATTTTTCAAGGAATATGCTAGGAGTTACCAAGGAGAGCACTCACTTCATTTCTTTTCTTGAATGATTTTGCTATAAAATTGGAGAGGAAGACTAAATTCTCTTTGTTGACACTGTTAAATACTTTGCATAATTGACTCTCTGGTGACCTTGTATCAGCTTTTAAGATGGAGATTTTACTAAAGAAGGTATCTCGGTCTGTTTTGTATATTGGGCATTGGAATATAAAATGGTATTCATCTTCAATTTCCCCTTTGGTACACAGGTGACAGATTCTGTCACACTTTTCAGTTTTCGGCCTGGTGTGCCGCCCAGTTTCGATATGGAGTTTATGATCGCTAAGACGTAGCTTAGCAAATTAAGGGCTGATAAATTGTCATAATTTGTTACTGTATCAACATATGTTGCCCTTTCACATTTCTGGTAAAGTATATTGAGGAGAGCCATTTTACTGTTGGATTGAAGTTTACTACTGCGTAATTGGGTACAGTGGTCAATTTGTCTCTGTTTGAAAATTGTAGTGAAATTGTTTGGAGGTCACTGGCTAAGCCACACATCCCCAAGACCAAATGTAAAGAGGAGTTTTCGGATTCCCTCAGACCACGACATGCATTATAGGTTACAGAGGTATATGGCATCAGATGAAATTAAACGTGGATGCGAAATAACTTGTGTATAGTCTGCATACAGCCCCCCTTCCCACTTTTGTTGAGATAGCACTTTTAATATATAAGTACTACCTCAGAATATTGATTGTCCAGATTAGGTCATTGAATTAACGTAAAAAAGAATGGATGAATAACGAATAATTAAAAATAGACATCCGTAACCACAGATAATGAGAGGCACCTTTAACAATGCATATAGAAGTCCAACTTTACTTACATCTGTTGTTCGCACATCGATATTATTGTGGGCAAAGCCTATCAACGACTGGGGCAAGTTTCCATAAAGGACTTAAAAACGAAAGTTATGTCGAACTTTTAGAGAGAATATTTGATTTATTTCAATTATGGAGGTAGGTGCAGTGGTCCACTTAGATAGAGTAAAGGTTGGTCTACGTTCTTGCTTAATTTTATAATGGTAAAACAGGCGCAATATTTCATGTTTGGACTGCTGCTGATATACTAGGCAGGGTAGGGTTTTTTTTGTCTAAATTTTTAGATTAAATAGTCTTTAGTTCTTTTGCGAAATATACTACTGGTCTGAACACCATGCAGTCAGATAATATAATAACGTATAAATAATCTAACGGCAAATATGAGAACGTTTTTATCTGGGGTATTGATGATAGTCACCATATTAAAAGCGTAATGGGAAGACAGCAACTTACATTTTTTTTTTTGCTTTTTAACTTCCAGGTTATACAAGAATGGGACAAAATCGGTAACTTCGGGCGTCCTCACTGGGGTAAAGTTCTCCAGGTGTTTCCAAACCTGAAACAGCGGATTAAGCTCAGCTACGGTCTCGACTTGGACATATTCAAAACCATCCGAGAATCACTTGATGCCCACGGAGTTTTCACTAATGCATTCTTAAGATATTTGTTTGATATTAAACGTAAAATACGTTGAAAAGATATCCAACACTTGGCATATTGTAAAAAATAATCTATATGTAGGACCTGCGATTATTCTTCTCACCTTCAATTTGAATTTGTATGATTATTTTCCCCCGAAAGGGAAGGGTAGAAGTTGCACCATTCGGATATTTTCCCGGGAATTCTTTCTTTCGATTTCAAACCTCTGCAGCACGTGGTTATTGGCTTCATAATTGTGCAGAAGACACAAGATACACTTGGCTAGGTATCAGATCGCTCCTTTTATATTTTTTGGTGGGGATGGGTTTTTTGTCTGATCTCTGATGTAGATTGCCCAGGAAATATATTTCATGTCCAAATGTGTTAAGCTAGCTTGTTGAAGAAATGTATGAATAAATGCATTCCGTTTGCGCAAGGAATTTATATTACCAAATAGTTGCTCTCTCTCTCTCTCTCTCAGAGTTAGACGCACGGATTTAAGACCATCTGTAGCTTTCCACTTCATACATTTTACTGCTTTATCATCTCATCTAAAAAAGGAATTTTGACGATGCCCCATCTGCGTGCAATCGTATTGTGTAATTGTTAGCAAAAATTATTTGTCTGGGGAAATCAATATTCTTATTTCACACATGCAAAACGTGTTTTGCTTAAATAATGAATGCTGTATTTTGACGTCAAGTTGTGGCTACCCGTGTCCCCATTCCGTGAAGATGACTTAAAAGACACCGAAATAAAGGTTAATTTTGTGTTCCTCATTCAATGCGTTTGGTGACTGGTAATCCCATTATAACTGAAGTGCTTTATAAAAATCATAAAAGCATTTGTATCACGAAATGTTCAAGAGAAAATTTTGTATCAGTTTAGCTGTATATGGCTTATTTGTTTTTAATTTTTTTAAAATTATTTTGGCTATTTCGATTTTTTTTCATTATTGTACATTAGGGTGACAAAACTATTGCACCATTTTGCTTGAAGGTGAACAACAACTGGGTTTCTTGGTTTTTCAATTGGTATTTTATTGAAAAGTGGTTATGTCACGTTAGTATCTTAACTAAAGGTTTACAAACCAGTGCTTTGCCCTTATAAAACGCATGTTATTAGGCTAGTATTAACCTTTTGTAGTATAGCCACCCTTCTTGGCTTTAGATTGCTAAAGGTTCGGTTATCTTTTGAGGACAATGTTGGCCCAGGCTCTAGATACTTTGGATTAGAGCATTTCTGGCAAAGGGGAGAGCCTTCACCAATTGCTTTCCAATCTCATTCTACAGGTTTTTTTATGGGATTTTTGTCTAGTGATTGGATAGACCAATTCACCCTGTTGATTTAATGTCGGTAAAGCCACTGTCCTGGCCCGTTGGGGTGTGGCATTATCATCTTGGAAACAAAAGAATGCTTTCCAGGCCTCATAAACGATAATTGCCGTTTGCTAACCGGAGGCGTAAATTTGTGAGCGCAAACGCACAAGTTAACGACTCCAGCCACGAATTAAGTACTGCAACGTATTTAATAAGGTTACACAATCTGAGCGTTTTATTACACAAACACAATTTGGCCAGCTTCCACCCGGGCCTTTGGCTGTAGACATAGGCCCCCTACGTGTTCTTTTTATACGGCAGTAATACGTTCTCGACAATCTCTGGGAGCCATCTATACCCTCCTCCCTCAGAGAAACAATTTCTGTTCTTTTGTCATTTGTGGGCTTCCGCACCATCACCATGGTTGCAACTTGACAGTCAGAAGAGCGTTTAACCTTCGATGAGACCTTTTTTGTGCACATGGATGAAAATCCATCACTGGTTACGCGAGTAATAAACCGCAAATCACTTTTTAAGGACGCGTCCCCCATGTTCACAGATACATAAATGGTGCATCACTTTGTCACCCCTCTGCACGTGTAGCATTGCGTAATAGTCTATGACAAATATTATATTTTACGTTTTTGTCAGATCTACCGAAGAAACAAGAGGTACCACAGTCACTTTCTTACATATAAAATTATACACAGACTGGTTTCCCTCAAACTAAATTTTGGGCACTATATATCAATCCCTATTTTCATACTAAGTTATTGTGCACCTAATGGGGTTCATCACGTTACGGAAACCCTGGTTGGAATAATTGTTCTCGACGCGCCTGCGCGATAACCTTCTACCATACAACAAGATTCTAACACATACAGGGGACTTGTAGGATTTAAAGTATACGTCAGATACCAAGTACGTAAAATTGATTTAGATCAAAGGAAAAGAAGCCGAAGATGATACACCCTGCATTGTCTTGTATGTATATCTGTACGCTGTTTAATCCAGGTAAGTTCATTTTTTAATACCGGTGACTAGGGAGACCGGGGCTAGTTGGCCCAGCTAGATACGTTTGGCCTTGTAGAGCCAACTAGGAATGAGTTAGAGTAACAAAACCGGTTTCTAAGTAAGCCCCATGAACTAAGCTACGTATGCAACGTCATTATTTTTCAAATATAATGCCAGATGGCTCACAATTTGACAAAAAACGCAGTTGACGTCAGGGGGGCAACTTGCCCCGCCACGGATAGTTCATTTCGCTTTAAAAGAAAGTAACAAATTCACTTTTAAACCATATAGTTTGTTTCATCAATGGTCTCTAGCTCTTTTGCGCGCAAAGGTTTTTGGGTAATATGAGGGTCTAACTTTCTCCCAGTCAAGGGGGCCAACTAGCCCCGGGTGCACACTTTTTGTTTTAAAGGATGGAAGCCATTTATGGTTCTATAATGAGCAAAGATGATACATCTCTGTGAAACTTGAAATAATGGGCTTCAGTTTGATACCCTATACATATATTATATTCGATCAAAAGCCTATGAAAATAGATTTTTAAATCTCTTAAACAAAATTACTTTTATGTGCAAAAATCGTTTATTTCGACTCACCGCTTAAGTAAAACTTTTTAACGTCCGACACTTCCTTTGCATTGTAGGCTACGGTCTCTTTACAAGAGTATGTGGCCAATTCTTTTACCTCGTAGTTACTTTTTCATAAATTGGGGGGGGGGGGGGGGGGGGGGGGGGGG